CTGGAGAGGGCCATCCAGGAGGACAAGCAGAAGAAGCTCCATCAAGAGCACAACCTCAAGGCAAAGGAGGAGGGAAAGAAGGAGCACCGGGAGCGAGAGGAACAGCTCCTGCAAGAGAAACTGTCTACGGCCGCGCAGAAGAGGCTGAAGAAGGAGGTGCAGCTGCAGAAGGAGAAGAAACTGCTCAACCAAGCAGAGAAGCTGAAGCATGAGGCCTTGCTCAAGGAACTGGCCAAGCAAGAGGCGGAAGAGAAGGAAATGTTGAAGGCCTCTCTGGAAATGAGTTTGACCAAGGCTCAGGAGAACTATGAACAACTAGTGGAGAAGAGGAACCAGGAGCTGAGGGAGAAGGCCAGGAGGGAGGACATGCAGATTCAAAGAGCCAAACTGGCAGCAGAGAAGAAGGAAAGGGAGCAGAAGAAGCACTTGGAGGCCCTGGCTAGAGAGACGGAGAGAAAGCTGCAGCATGCTGCCCAGGTGGCTGAAGAGGCTGTCCAAGAAAAAGCCCGCAAGGTGGTCTTGAGCCGTCTGGAGAAGGAGAAGGTGCAGAAGATGAACAAGCAGAAGGTAGAACAGTACGAGGACTTACGTCGCAGGGAGCTCCTCCTCTCTATAGAGAGGAAGCTGGAGAGGAGCGAGCAGATCTTCAAGGAGAAGAAGACTGTCTTAGAAAACGCCAGGTCTGTTGCTCGGGCGTCCTTCCATGTCCGGGAAAAGGTGCGAGAGGAGACGAACATGCGTACCTTTGACAAGATGGCCTTGGAAGCAGAACTGCATGCCCATCTGAATAAGAAATGAAAGATCGGGTCGTGGATGAGCGGGGATACATCACCGGTTGTCCATCATAATGCATCAGAAAGCTCCTCTGCATTACCAGTTAACATTTAAGAAACAACAGCAACCAACAAGCACCCTAATTTCTTATTCTGGGGGAGCAGGGTACCGCACAAAAACGTGGCAGCTATTTCACATACTTTTTTAAAACGTTTTTGTTCTGGGCCTGTTTTAAGGACTGTCCTCCATCGTCTTTACAGAGGGGAAGTGAGTTTTTTGTCCTCCACCCCACAAGCACATGTATTTTCTCAGAGGGCTGCAGAGGAAGTCTGCTTGAAGCCTGTGAGTTGCTAATTGATTGGCTACACTGGAGTTGACTTCAGCTGCACTCTTCAGGTGGAAATGCAGACAACAGAGACTACTGACTACTTGAGTCTACTGACGAAGAACCAAAACCATCCCAGCTCATTCTGGCTTAAGTCACAGGCAGCTTGGTTTAACTTACAGGACTGCATTTTCAAAGCCGCCGCACTCCCACACTGAAGGCAGGGAGGGCTGGAGTAGAGAATGCTGTATGCCCCTCGATTCCCCTTGCCTGGTGCTGATGCTGAGCAAGAGAAAGCACAGACCAAGACTTCGTAACACCATGTGAGTAGATGTTATGATCAGAGCTGGGCAGAAGCTGTTAGAAGTGCTCACAAATACAATCTCACTTCTGCTGAGGTGGTGGGAGAAGGAGAGGAGTTTGTGGGCAGCCCACAAACTGACAGGCACCCGTGCAACCCACGTGTTCATTAAGACACAAAAGTGAGTGAACACGTGGAAGCTGGCCTTTGTGGCAAGCATGGATCATTTGTAAGTGGAAATTTGCAAGCAAACTGCATAGAGAAATGGGACTTTGGGAATTCCTAAAACTCAGGGAGACCCTCAGCAACCTTATCCAGTTTGGCCTGCCTTGAGCAGGAGGTTGGTGTCCTCCAGAGGTCCTCTCAACCCAGTGTTGCTTACAGTGAGACTTTCACCCAGCTCTTATCATCGTCTACTGAGCAGGGCAGCATTTGTCTGTCCGCTGGTGCTAACAGTTGTATTATACAGGGCACAAGAAAGAGTAGATGCACGGAATAAGGTACATTACAGGTTCTCTTAGATGAAGATCATGGTTTTTTTGATAACTCAATACTGTCTAGAGGGAACTGAGTCGTTCTGCCATTAGTGTACTGGAAATGTGAAAACCTGTGCACAGCATTCAAGTAAGACGGTGTTCTGCTCCAGGTTTCCGTGTTTACTGTCTGTTGGGTGGCAGTTGTGAGCACACATCCAAACCAGACACTTGCTGCTGTTTTTTTCTGGCTCCGGGCAGCGCCAGCTCTCTGTTCCACCATCCGTGACGACGCGCTGGGTTGCTGTGGTGATGGCATCGGACCTGGAGCGTGTGGGAGAAGCAGCAAGAGCAGCCAGGATCTTATTTCCTTGCCTCTGGCAAACAATGCAATGACAGAGAAAACCAGGAGAAGGTTGACATACGGTACAGGCGTGCAGTCCTGCATGCATAAATTGCTTACCAGAATTTCCTAGGAGCTGACAGCAGGTCAAAAACTTCTCTTAGAAGACTTTCAGGAAGGTGTTAAATGAACAGCAGCAACAACAACAGTAGACCAAGCACACCCTGCTGCCCTGCAAGGCTGGCAGCCTTAAAAAAACTGTTGAAAATGAAGCAAGTAGGGATTTCTTTTGAGTTGGATGGAACTTGCTCTTCTCAAGTCACTGTACAATTGGTGCTGTTGAGGGCAGGCAGCATGAAAGTAGGAATTAGGGCACCTGAGTGATGTGTGCTCCATCAGTCGTTGGCTCGCTGTGTAACACCAAGTCCTCAGGGGCTGGGCTTGCTCCTATTGATAGAAAGGGAAGCAGTGTCGGGCTCCTGGGACAGCTGGGACTCGCAGGAAATGGTAACACTCAGCAAAACTCTTCAAAAGACTTTGGACAAATGATGCTAACAAAGCACAAAGTACTATTTTGTTATTTATTTATTTTATTTATTTATTTATTTGACTGGCTATTGGAGTAAAACATGTCTGTTGGTGAAAAGCACTAATAAACACCGAAATCTCTAAACAGCGGTAGCTGGGGGAGGGAAAGTGGCATTACTGTTTCCAGCCAGGAGTCTGTCCCCTCATCCTCAAAACAGCAATCAGTTTGAACAGTGAAACCAGTGCTGCTGTAACAGCAGACAAGTTCCTTGATAAACAGTCATCTTCACGTGTTGCTTGTACCGTGGTGGTCCGTGTCTGCCCTTGTAGCTGCATAGACCTAGAAAAGAGGCGCCCAGTGGCCCAAATCCAGCCTGCACAAAAATTCCTTTGCTCCTTGCCAGGACTAGAGTTGGGATAAACCCTGTGATGACTCCAGCATAGCCATAGTTTCATCTTGTTTGTAGCCTTCAGGGCTGCAGAGAAAGCCCTCCAGCACAGGGATGAGGGCTCTTGCTCCCCGCTTCATCGCACTGTGGTTGGAGTTCACTGCTTGGTCCATTCAGTATTGGGCGAATGGGGAGAGCTGGGAAACAGTGGAAAGAAAGTAGAATGCAGAGCACAAGTGAGCAGACACAACCTGTTAACTGGAGCAGCAGTTTTTCCCTGAAGTCTTTGTCCACACCTTCCTTTGGCTGCATTTCCAGTGCAGACTGAGAACATTTCACAGCCCAGGGGACAGGTCTTGGCCACTGACTGTAATTACACCTGGGGTCCGTGTCCTGCTGCTGACTGAGTTTGACACCTTGGGGCTACAGCTGAACTAATCAAAACACACCTACGAGGTGGTAATCGGATTGGCAACCTACTTTTCCTATACCTTGCAGTGTGCAGCTCAAGTTTTGAATGTGCAATCAAAGAAAAACAGTTTTGTTTTTTTTCAAAAGACATTAACCTGTGTGTGGATATTTTTTATTTCTGTAGTGGTTCCAGCCCAAAGTCTGTGAAAATCAATGGAGTCAGCGAGTTGGGTGGAGGCATGAGAGGTGTTTCTTGGGTCTGCTTATGCTTCTGTTTATTTGAGGAGTTTTTACTGCTGGATTTCTTGAACCCTGGGACACATGTAAGAAGTACGGCCCTTTTAGATGAGGCTTATTTGGTGTTTTCGATACTGAGCTGCAAGCCAGGGAGAACTAAAAATCAAAGCAAGCACCGTGTTACCTCAGAACTAGATCACGGCTTATTTAGAGCAGAGCAGCAGCTGATAACGTTTGGTTAGGTCCTGCAGAAACATAACTTACATTGGTCCTCTCCTGGGATTAGAAAACACATTTAGGCTATTGCTGTGTTCTAAGGTTATAATGACGATTTCCTTCCAGACCATTTGCATGCATGCCACAGAATGACCACTAGACCTTGAAATACCTGCGTCTTAAAAGCAACAGCAGCAAAAGGACAATTGCCAGGAAACTTCTGTGGTCAATAATGCATCTTAGGTCCAGCCAGCATCAAATTCCCAGGTTTCAATACCTAAACACTTGAAGCCTTGCTCCAGGTTTCACGTTGGATCCTATAGATCTAACAGGACGACCCAAAATCTGGACTCAAAGCCACTAAACATTCAGATCTAAAGCCGAACACTGGCATGCAGGCATACCTCTAACCCCACTTGAAAACCACTGCGCTGCTCACTGCTGTCCATCAACTCGGATTACTGCTAGAAGTTGACCTGCTAAAAACCACCCTAAATGTTTACAGGGTTTCTGAAGGTGAAATATTGGAACATTGGGGAGAAAGACTCCAATACAATTTAAATCTTCTAAAAAGAATTACAGGACCAAGTCCTGGGAATTCATTTTCAGGTAAAACTCCCATCATTACATACTAATGTTCTGCACAGTGAAACAACGTGGTCAAGAACATAGTGTGGAAAAAGGGGAGTCTGTCGCACTGCCGGCTATGGCAGAATAAGAAGTCGTTTCAGAGGCCCCAGAGCTGTCCAGCCTGGTTTCCTTGGGTGGATGCCTTGTGATTCTCACTTCAGTGAAACCAAGGCTGCCACACAATTTCATCTTGTATCAGACATCAGAGAACTCACACGTGAAAGAGAAGCATCCACTAAAGAGCAGTTTATTTGCCTGAGCTCTGGATGAATCTCTCACCCATTCTGAGTGTTCACAGACTACCTTGTTTATGTGGATTTTTCTGGTTTTTGAAAGTATCTGGGCTAAAGCTGGAGCCATTCAGTGCTGGTGAGAGTGCCAACAATCTCTTATGCATGCTGCCTTTTCACACAGAATTCATCACTAAAACACGATCTTTCTCTCTCTGTCAAGGTTAAATTTGGCAGACACATTAAAAAGCTATTAGGAGGAGCAGCTGCACCACCACTAGTTAATATTTTACGAGGTATTTTTTTAACCAAGTTTATCATAAATTCTTTCACCACACGGATAAGAGAGATGTGAGGATTAGATTTCTCGCCTGTGTTTCTCTTATGATACTTATGGAGCTCTGGGCTCATTCTATGCTAAAATTTCCTCTTATGCCGGAGCTCCAGGCTCATTCTATGCTAAAATTTCCTCTTATGCCAGAGGAATTCTGTTCACTAAACACATGCTGAATATGCAGTGCATATAGGCCTGAGAGGGGCCTTATTCTGGGACTTGTCTTTACTGAGCCAAGCCTGGAGAGGGAGATGTAGGAAACGCAGGATTTGCAATACAAAGCCCATCAAACACCAGTTTTCCAGAAGTTCTCCTAAGAGCAGCCCCAGAGCCACCTCTGCGAGCTGTCATCAAGGAAGTGACATTTTCTGCTCCCTTACTGACCTCCAAGCCAGGCTGATCACATCCTACCTCGGGAGGGCTTCTCATTGCCGCCCGTGGGTACACCGAAACGAGAGATTTGCTTTCAGCTATGCCCGGTTTTCTGGTGATGAAGACAAAAAAAAAGCAATAGTTAGCATGCCATTTTGCCAGTCTGCTTCTCTTTTGTTGTATCTTTTGTTTTAGGACAAACCTAGCTAGATGTAGCCCACCACAGGCAATGACT